GGTGATTTTTATCTGTTTTTCTGGTCGCTCTATAGACCACAATTACGACCCGAACAGCACGATAAACATCAGAGATAGGTAAAGGATAAACATCTGACTATGAAATAAGCAAATGTCTGTTATGGTCGATAATGATCAGGTGATACTTCGGGGATGAAATAGACCGAAACTTTATTTTTGTCGGTTTCTCGTCGCTCTAGACGGCACAATTATAAGCCGAACATCACAAATTTTCCATGGGGAAGGCGATCTGACCAACTAATTCGAATGGCTGTCAAGATAATAAAGATCAATATTTAGCGGGTCAAATGAGCTCTTGATATCCAATCGGTAAAGTGAGTAAAAATATCGCAGAATATCGATCCACAGAAACTGAGCGCTCAGTCTTAGTGTGTAAGAAGTAAGCTGTTACATGAGTCCATTAAAAGTTTTCGCTCAATGGAAATGATCGAAAAATATCCGAAAAACCTTATTTTTATCACCACTATAACTCGAATTTCAAATAATTGTACACGGAGAAGGGTAGGCCCATAAATAACCGTGACTGTTTTGAATATTTATTTATTCATTGCAACGAAAAAGCCATCTGGAAAATAAATATCGCAACATATTATCAGCCAATAATTAACAGGTCAAATGAAAATTCCGATTGTTATCAAGGACGAAACATTTTTAACCCCGAAAAGATCGACTAATTTTTAGGGTACTGTTTTTCAAGTCGCTCTATAGACCACAATTAGTATCCGAAATCTACTAAATTTTACATGGGAATCTGATCAAAGAAAAATGTGGCTGATGATCGGTCAACTCGATATGGAAACGATAGATTCAATATATACTAAAACATTTACAGGACATTAATATGTTGCTATTGCATAGGTTCGGAATTTAGATCCACTGAAAAATTAAGTGCGGTCGTAGTTGTGTATGGCATCATATTGTCGATCCGGTCCAACTTTACCACTTCTATAAACATTTTTTTTTTGTAAGAACTGTATTAATTTTGTTTTTTTGTTGTAATTTTTTATTTTAAGTATTATATATATTTTTTAAAAGCTGTTTATTTTTTAATTATCATTTGGTAAATCTTCGTAAAATCCGCGCATAATCCTCTTCGAAAGAAAAATACAAAATCTGATTCATTGCCGGCAAAATATCAAAATCGAGTATACTGGTTATTTGGGAGTAAAATCGAAAATTGTCCGACCAATATTTCCAGGTAAAAAACAACTTTTAACACATTTTTGGTTTCGGTGTATGTGACAATTTTGTTCACTATTTATAGTCCCAATTAATATACAATTTCATTATTTTCTTAGCTATTTTTTTGCTCTCTGACAAAGAAAAAAACATTTCTAAGAATTATCACGTTTCTCTGTATAATATATAAATTGAATTATTTATTTTTATAAGAAATACACACACACACACTCACAACACTTGTGGTATTTGTTAGAATATCCAACATGTTTATTAAAATAAATCACACAATGCAATTGTTTTCTAATATAAATATTTGTATAGTTTATTTATTTATTTTTATTTTTTATTGTATTTTTTTTTTTTTTTTTTTTTTTGCAACAAGACAGTGTAATACGTTTTTCTTATCGTATTTTAGCACGTGCTCTGCGTGGCAGGGAAGAAGTGGTTACAAAAGTACTTCTAGTTAAATTACCAATTCTAGGATAGCAACAATAAAACATTTTCAATATTGTTTTCATCGATTAGTCATTTGAACACTACATTATTATTCTGGAGTGTTAAAAGGGGAAAATGAGCAATATGACTGTTAAGTTATTTGCAATGAAAAAACCATATGCTTGCATTGGATTTTGGAAACAATTCACGTCTTGTATATCTTGTATATATCAATTCTTTAAAAATAAATGCCTTGTACAGAATCTTGAAAAAAAACATTTTTTAAAACATTTAAATACAGGTCCTAGAAAAATATTCCTTAAAAATTCTACGCCATCTAAGGGACCTCAAAAACATTCTTTAAAAAATCTACACCTTGTGTGGGGCCACAAAAATATTCTTTAAAAATTCTACGCCTTCTAAGGGACCTCGAAAAATATTCTTTAAAAATCCACGACTTGTAAAGGGCCTTATAAATATTCTTTTAAAAATCCACGCCTTGTATAGAAAAAAAATGCACACCTTGTATAGGTCCTAGAAAAATCTACGCCTTCTAAGAGACCCCAAAACAATATTCTATAAAAAATCTACACCTTATAAGGGACCCCGAAACAATATTCTTTAAAAAATCTACGCCTTGTGGGGAGCCTCAAAAATATTCTTTAAAAAATCTACGCCTTGTGGGGAGCCTCAAAAATATTCTTTAAAAAATCTACGCCTTGTGGGGAGCCTCAAAAATATTCTTCAAAAATTCTACGCCTTCTAAGGGACCCCGAAACAATATTCTTTAAAAAATATACGCCATCAAAAGGACCTCGAAAAATATTCTTTAAAAATCCAAAAGGGACCTCATAAATATTCCTTTAAAATTCTACGCCTTCTAAGGGACCCCGAAACAATATTGTTTAAAATATATACGCCATCAAAAGGACCTCAAAAAAATATTCTTCAAAAAATCCAAAAGGGACCTCATAAATATTCTTTTAAAAATCCACGCCTTGTATAAAATATAAATAAATATAAAAAAATAAATAAATATAAAAAAATATTGGAAATTTTTATAGGTTTTTATATGTCCTCTAAAAAATCGAAGCATATAATAACTTTAAAAAATTGCTTTAAAAAATCTATTGATTGCCAAAAAAATACTCGTTTTTATCATTCGCCTGCCATCAAATCTAGAGCTAGACGTAATTTTCCACCCACCTTCGCGATTTTCTTTATCTTTATCATTATTTTTATTTTTTGTTTATTTATTTTGGCGAATATGTGACGTCATTAGTTTATGATGTCTGTTGTCATTTAGAGTTTTGAAAAAAAGAATATTTCCAACCACTCCCAACATTTCTTCAGTTGTAAAAATTCCTTGAACGATTATACGGCGGCCTTGATAAGACAGCTAACTGTTAGACAGACAATTGAGCTGCGGGGGAATATTAGTTATTCGATGGGTGTGTTTGTGGAGGATTAGCTTTAGAGGTCATTTGTAATAGTTAAGTCACGCTATGTATACATGCATATATATCTATCATTCGGAGGAATGGGAACTGAATGTGCCAAAATGTCTAGAAACAAAATTTGCAAGTTTGAAATGTCAATTCATTTTTGTTTTTGTTATAGGAGATGACATTGGGGGTTACAAAGGATAAACAAAAATGAAAAACAACCAGGGTCCGCCCTATAACTACGTCGCTAAACATTACTGATTGAAAAAAAAAATCTCAAAAAAATAAATTTTTTCCGGATGGACATTTTTTCTTTTGTTTCAATATTTCTGCTGATAATATTCGAGAACATTCTCCAATTGATCGTTAATTGAATGTGAATTAAGAAATATGACCCAACACTATTTGGTCGTATTTTCAATTGTCATGATCACGCCATTGAGTGAGTTTTGTATTCGATTAAGTGTCAGCAATAAATGAAGTTATAACCTCAATTGTAATCAATACACACACAGACACAATGATGACTTTACTTCATGTTTACATACCGCCTAGAAAAATCTCCACACAAAGCTGAGCTTGCGAGCATCGATTCTCGTAGCGAGAGAGAATGAATCACAGAGGAATTCTCGAAAATTTTGCATTAATTTGAAAATTACTTTCAATTGTTTTGGGTGGCAAAACAAATCAATTGTTGCAAATAAAAATAATTTTGTGTCGCAAGCAATTCACTTAAATGTAGACACGCATATTCACACACACACACACACCCTAGGGGTCGTATTAAAAATAGTTTCACTTTCATTACCGAGAATTAAATTGCAGAGTCAATTCGTTAGTTGAGTGATGTGATTTTCAAACTACAAATGTGCGGCACACATTTTCAAAACAGGCATCAGCTGTATTGAATTTATAACCGACATTGTTCTGGAAAATATTCTAGACGTTCTCCCCCATGTCAATTCTAATTGTCCATCTAAAACCTAAGGAACCACTGTGCAATTTTTGTATTATTATTATTATTTTTTCTTGAAACGAATTTCAGTTATCATTGACCACCAAATGACAGACAGGCGAACAGACACTGAACCCGCTTGAATCACCGTTACATCATAACTGGAAAAACAACGAACTGTTGCCATAGCAGAATACAGTTTTTATCAAGTCCATCGAACGATCAACGCGCATCACATCAAAAAATAAAAATACAAAAAAAACACACCCATATTTCAATGGGTTTTCATTTCAATGTGTCAACGGGCATATTAACAGCCCGTTCGTAGCATGTCGATATGCCTCTATGAAAAAAAAACAACAACTGGACACAAAACCAAAAAAAAAAGAGGCTCGTCACAACAACAACACAGCACATGTGGAAGATCGCACAACAATTGTTTTATATTCCATATAGCTGCTGCTGGTGCATATTTATTGACATGATATTAATATTGAAAAGGAATACAACAACAACAATAGTAATAATAGAGTGTTATAATAGAAACAACCATGGACTATTTGCATACATACATATGCATAAGGTTTTACATGTGTGTATATTCGGAGCCTCTTAAGAATTAATGGCTCCAAAGAATTTAATAAATTTTCTTTTTTCTTCTACCGCGCATAATTGGAGGGCAAACAATTAAAATCGGGCAATAAAATGCTGTCATCTACCATGGGACATATAAGCATTCATACATACATATACATGTTGTGAATTAATTGATTTATTTGTCTTGAATTAACTTCGAATGTGAAGCCATTTGAAGAGTTAATTGAATAGTCAGTCATATAATAAAACATTGCATTTTTATTAGAAAAAAAAAAAATTTGGATTCTCAAAAAAATTTAGGGATATTTGTAAATAATAATAATTCAAAAAAGAAATAATATTAAAATTAATAAAAATGGACTTACTTCTTATTTTTGTGACACCCTGTTTCTCCGTATTAGACATAATTTAAGAGATTTTCTGAAAAAAAAATAAATAAAACAAATTATATTAGATAATAATGAAGAATTCAAAAATTAGATATTAATTTACATTTAAGAACAATAAAAACTTCATATATCGAGAATGGGAACAATTTTTTAATAATAGACACTTCGAAAAATAAAATCCTATTTATAGAATATTTCAAAAATGCGCCTTTAAGGGGACCCCCATTTATTTATTTTTTTTATTTATTTTTTATTTAGAATCTGAACTAATTCAAGAATGTCCCTACAAAAATATCAACAACTCTTGAAGATATAGCCGATTTATTGTGTAAGCATCAGCAGTGACGGCAAGAGTGATTCTAAAACTTTAAAAGCGTTTTTTCTCGAAACAGTGTTTTGTACGAATGGCGTGCACGATAACTCAAAAACTAATAATCCGATCAGTTCCAAATATTGACACGCTTCTCTGAGTGTATAGCTATCGTAAGAACTAGGATAAAGGCAATCGATGAAGAACTTCCTTATTTTTTTTTAACTTAGTTTGCTGTCAAAAATTGGCGTATTTCCAAAACAATTTTTTTAAGGTCTGCCATTTTGTTAATTTTTGAGCGAATTCAATAATCCTAGAACAGACATGTACTCTTTCTAACACCGTTAGAATTTCTGGATTCCGATGTTCCAGTGAGGAGTTTTCTTTAATCATACTGATCCTTTTTGGGGGAGGTACCAGAGGAGAGGGCAGACGGGTCCCAACTTCAGACTTGATCTAGGCTTCGTAAAGAAGCAAAGTTTGGTTCAAATCGGACATTCCATTAGCCGCCTGATGTTGGATTTATATATATTGAAAATTGTGACCTTCTGTGGGTGAGGTACCAGAAGGAGAGGACCAATGGCAATGATAATAGGTTGTGCAAAGTTTGTTTTAAATCGGATATTCCATTCGTCTAATATTGGATTTGTAAATATTCAAATTGTGACCACTTATGGGGGAGGTAGCAGAAGAAGTGGACCAATGGGTGCCATCTTCAAAATTGTTCTAGGCTTGGTATAGATAATAGGTTGTGCAAACTTTGGTTCAAATCGAAAATGTCATTCGCCTGAAATTGGGTTTAAAAATATTGAAAATGTTGACCTTATTGGGGGAGGTACTAGACTTTGTAAAGATAATAGGTTGTGCAAAGTTTGGTTGAAATCGGACATTCTATTATCCTGATATTGGATTTATATATATATATATATTGAAACTTTTGACCACTTATTGGGGAGGTAAGAGAAAAAGGGGACTAATGGGTCCCATCTTTTGACTTGAACTAGGCTAGATAAAGTTAACAAAATTTGAAAATTTGAATTTTATTCTGATCAAGAATATATACATTAAAGGTCTTTGGTATTTTTAAAGGTTTTAGAGTTTTGAAAAAAAAAAAATAATTTACTAAAAAAAGAACCTGGGAAAAAGAGGTTCTTGAAAAACATTTTTTAGTTTAATCTACGACTGTTAAAATTTCTTTTAATTAAGACTTATGGAGGTTCTTAATGCACGCTCTTTAATATATATTTTTTTTATTCAGGCTTATAGAGGTTATTGAACACAAATTTTGACTTATATAGGTTTTTCAAATATGTTTATACCCTACACAAGGATATTATAGCTTTGTGCAGCCCCTAGAGCTTGTAACGCCACGAAATATTGGTCCTAGACCCACCTTTAAGTATACCGATCGTCATATATCGATTAGCTGAGTCCATCTAGACCAGAGAACAACAACAAGTGTATGAGTATAAGTATGTTTTGCCACTTGTACAACAAATTCACTGATTCATCGACACTCGGGTATGTTTTGTCGAGTCGTTTTGCGCATTCGGTTAAATTTCTTATCTTACTCTCTTGCTCTCTGCACATCAAGTGATGTTGCTTGTTGTTGTTACTCAGTTGCTTGCCTTATGCTTTACTCTCTTGCTCTCTGCACATCAAGTGTTGTTGCTTGTTGTTGTTACTCAGTTGCTTGCCTTATGCTTTTCGAGAGCGAAAGCACAACGATCAGAACGAAGAAGAAGCAACAACTTGTTTTTGTAACAAGTGGCTTATGCTCTTGAGTGTGTTTTATGCATGTTTTTAATTTTCACAGTAAAATGTTCTGATTTGAGAACAATCATTTTACCGTTATTTTAAGATTTCTTTAGTTTTGAATAATTAATGTGATTCATCAAAAGAGTTTTAGCAGTGTTTAGCAGTGTTTTAGTGAGTTTGTTTGGTGAAATAAAATTAATAAAATTTTGAACTATAAAACTTTAAAACTATAAAACTTTTAAACCATGCATTTTATTTTTCTTAAACTATAGGTATGATCTTTTCCTAACCTTGTACAGAATCATTTACAATACCACAAACAATAGCACAACCACACATGTTCAATGTGTATACTAGATTCCACGATCCTGCACAACAAGAACTGAGTATAATTTGCCGATTGACAAATCTTACACGACCACTTGTGAGTTTGTATACCTTTTACTCTCTCATGCTCTAGCGGTGATCGTAAAATCAAACAATTGCTGTTGTTAGGGTGTGAACAAATACTCGAGTATAAAAAAAATACTTGCACTCAAAAGGCTTGACACCCAAAACACTTGTACTCATCTAAGTGGCTTACGTTTGTCTGTGGCTTGTTGAAGTTCTCTGATCTAGACATGTGTGTCCGTCCGTCCGTCTGTCCATTATAATTTGTAAACACGATACAGACCACACGATATGGACTCATCGTTACGATTGGAGCATTCTTATTTAGATTTGTTAAATAATTTTTTTAACGACAGTCTTAAAAATATTACCAATTTATTCACATATTTTTTAAGATTATTATAAAATTATATTTTTCAAAAACCAATAGATCGTTAATTTAAGAAAAATATTATAATATAAAAAAATTATTATACTAGGACCAGCAATAAGCTTCGATTTTCTAATAATATTTTTCAAGGTCTTTCGTTGATCTAATAAAATATCTATTTTCCAGAATGGATTTTTACAGCATTTTTAAATACCATCATTGCTATAAGAGCGTGTATTTACTTTTGAAGTGTCTTAAATTATTAAAAAAAAATTTAAAAATTTAACATCAAATATTTTTTTCTTACATCCAGAAATATTTTATTAAGGGAAAAAAATATTTTTGGAAAATCGCCGATTTTTTTTACCAAAAACCAAGTTAAAAAATAAGGAAGATCTTCACCGATTGGCTTTATCCTAGAGTTCACTCACAGAGGAACGTGTAAAAATTTGAAAATGATTGGGTTATTAGTTTTCGAGTTATCGTGCCCGACATTCGCAAAACCAATGTTTAGAGAAAACGCGTTTAAAGTTTGAGAGGCCCTTCAGCCGTTACTTGATGCTGACAAAATAAATCGGCTATATCTTCCAGAGTTCTTGAGATTTTCACTTGAAATTTTGTAGGGACATTCTTGAATTAGTGTAGATTCGAATTAAATGAAAAAATTAAATCAACGCTTAATGGTGGTCCAGCAAAAAAAAATAGTTTCTTAAAAATCCACGCCTTTATAGGGCTTAATTTTGTATATTCGTGATCACTCGAAAAAATATAGTTTTTAAAAAGAACGACCTTGAAAACGATTTTTTAAAGACGAATACAGTTGATATTTTTTCTCAAAGACCACCAATGCTAATAGTGCAGATTCACTTTACAAAAGTCCCAAATTGTGCTTGCGTCATTTCCCCCTACCAGCAATTGAATCTAATAAATACATAATAATATTTCCGTCAATAATTATAAAAATATATAATATATTCTATATATTATGTAGAGACAAACATACAACCAAATTAAAAAGAAAACTGTTTTGTTGATGTTTACAAATAATTTGCTTTTTATGTAAATGTAAATATGCACATTTAACGACGACGCCAAAAAAACTACCAAATATTTGTATTTTTTTTTTTCTTTTTTTTTTTTTTTTTTTTTTTGAATAAAATTTGTAATGAAATGTAGCGGAAAATGTATAGGAGGTGAAACAAAGCCGACAAAAATATTAAGAATAACAATTTTTATGCGAATAAATTAGAAATTTTTGTCAACAAATTATGTCGGCGATTGGAGAAATGTGAAAATATACGCAAAAAGAATATAAAAAAATATGTATGTAATAAATTTTTAGGCGAGACACAGTTGTTGAATTCTAATAACATTGAATTATAATAACTGTTAACATTGGCGCATGAATCATTTATAAGTACTTTAAATGGGTTTAGGAAGAGAAAGGGATTGTTCTTTATAATCCAAAAAAAAAAAACTACGCAATTTCAAAAAAGAACTGTATTAAAAAACTTGTCCATATATATATTTTTTGTATATATTCAAGAAAATCTCCTCACCTTATATAGCCATTCTTCCATTGGCATTGAATGTCAAAATGAAAAATGGAAAACTATGACTAGACAAAAACATCGCTAAAACGTGTCAACAACTATTGTTGTTAGTAAAATTCCTTATTATCCACGTTTGAAAATGTTTCCTCTCAAAAAATAGTTTTTCCAAAAAAATATTGTTTTTTTTTCTATATCTTTGGTCCGATACAGTGATTTTCCATTTCATTTAATAAAAATATATCAAACGGCAAATTACGTTGGACTTTGTTACTATTTGTTACTACTAGGCTGGAATATTAAAACAGTGATTTTGTTTTTCCCAAAACATATATAAAATAATAACAACATGTGATTTTTTGCGTTATAGTCAATGCCAAAATATGGGATAATATATATGTTAGATACACATATATGTGTATATATATAGAGGTAAATTCCTATGATTTTCTATATCAAATTCGGGCGACATATTTTCTCTGTCACAGTTCTTTAAAAATCAACAATCAAATTTATTGCCGCAGAAAACTATTAAAAATTTTTAGAAAATAGCACAAGTGAAATCAGGAGAGGAAATTTTTAGGAAAAATAAAACAGTCAATGACCTGCGATAACATTGAGTATTGTCTATATATATAAAATGTGGACCACAAAAAAAAATTAA